GCACAATTCATAAAAGAAAAAAAATGCCAAACTAGAATTCATCAAATTTACGACTTTTGTTCTTTAAAAACTCTGTTAAGAAAGAGAATGAAGAGACAAAGGCCAGGCTGGAAGAAAACAGTTGCAAATGATATATCTGATAAGCAACTAGTATCCAGAATATGTAAAGAACTCATAAAAGTCAGTAATAACAAAGAAAAACAATATTTTTAAAATGTGCAAAAGATATGAACAGACATCTCACCAAAAAAATACACAGATGGCAAGTAAACACATGAGAAAATGCTCAATATCATTAGTAATTAGGGAAATGCAAATTAAAAAACAGTGAGATACCACTACATATCTATGCAAACCACTGAAATTTAACAGACTGACCATACCATACCATGTGTTGGTGAGGATGTGAACTAACTAGAACATTCATACATTGCTGGTGGGGATGTAAATAACTACTCTGGAAAATAGTTTGTTAATCTGTTAAAGAGTAAAATGCTTATCCACCACCATATGATCCAGCCATTCCACTCTTAGATATTCACGTAAGAGAATTGAAAGCATCTGTCCATACCAACAATTCTATATAAAAGTTCATAGCAGCTTTATAAAGAATAGCCAAAAATTGGGAACAACCCAAATGTCCATCACCAGGTGAATGATGTGTGGTGATGCATCCATATATTGGAATACTATTCAGGAATTAAAAGGAATAAATTTGTGTACACCATTAATGAATCTCAAAATAGACGTACTACGTGAAAGAAGCCAGACAAAAAGGAGTATATAAAGTATGATTCCATTTAACATAAAAATCTAGAAAATGCCAATAAATCTATAATGACAGAAGCAGCTCACTACAGTTGCCTGGGGACAGGGAGAGGCAGCAGGATGGAGAGGAACAGGTTACAAACGGGCACAAGGAATTTCTGGGTTTGATGGCTATTTCTACGATCTTGGTCGTAGTGACACTTTCAGAGATACATACATAGGTCAAAACTTAAGTTGCACAGTTTATTGCATGTCAATTATACCACAATAAAGCTCTTAAAAATAAAGGAAAACATTATAATTAAACAACTCATTTTGAAAGTACTAAAAAGGAAAAATAGTGTTGAGTACATAATAAAAGCTAACATAATAAATAATAAATGATTTGTATAAATAATAAACGGTTATATTAGTGTAAACTAGTATTTGAAGGATGTTTAGTAATCAGCCACATAAAGACCAGATAGGGAAGAGGGTTCAGAGAGAAGCAATAGCAAGTGTGAAATACCCTGAGGCCAAAAGGAATGTGACACTTTCAAGGAACTTTAAAGACCAGTGCAGAAAAAAAGGAGGGGCGATACTAAAAGAGCCAAATCAGGCAGACTTGAGGTCCTGAAAACCATGCTACCACAAGTATTTTACTTTATCAATTTAGGATCTTAGAAACACCCCAATTTAAATTATTTTAAATGTCTACTATGTGGCTATATGTCTTAATAATATAGAAAGAACCCACGGGTAGAAATTATATATTACAATCATATTTTAAAATGAAGATCTGGGGACAGGAAATATCAACTTCATAGTTACTTATAGTTTCTGTACTATTAATAAAGAGGATTTCAAATATATATATATATACACTTTTTTAAAATAATATTTTAGGAAAAATATGTACACCTTTACCTTACCCTTTTTTATTACAGTAGCAACCTAATTCCTGATATTATATCTTCATGTTGCTGCCATTAGAAATAGAACACTTCCATTATAAATGTGTGAAATTCAGTATCCATATTTGACTAACCTAAGAAGTTTAAAAAAGTCTATATATATTGAACATATAATATTTAATAGATGATTTTGGGGAAATATTAGATAGCTGTTTTAATAATAAATTTACATTTAAAAATTAACAATATGAGATATTTTACAATCTCAGAGCATTAATATAGGTTATTTTGTTTACCTAAGAAAATTAAGTCACATACTGTCACATTAGCAAGAAAATGTCCAAGTCTGAACACAAATTTATTATATAAATATAAATCTTAACTGCTCAACAAAAATTAAAGAACAAGCTTCTAAAACAAAATGTCACTCATTCACACAGAGTTTATAGCAAAATGTTTTCTAGCCTAACATTATACTAAGCTACTCAAGCAAATATAATTCAAACTAGCATAAATCAAATCCTTGATTATTATATTTCAAATTGACACTGTCCTTTCTGATTCTTAGTCCTAAGTCTTTCAGCCTAGCTTCAGCTCAAGGTCAGTGTTCATTTTGTTTTACCTATGTGAGAAACGGCTTGTAATTCTGTGTTTTATACTTTTCAAATGGAAACAAATAGAAGACCAGAATTAATGCTAAGAGAACTTAAGTACCACTTTTGATACCATATTTGAGTTTGCATTTCTGCCCCCCAACCATCAATCTTCTGTTCTAGAGAAGCATTTCAGGAACACTCTTATTCCCTAGTGAAATCCCTATAGCAGAAATAAATCTGAGTTACCATGGAACCAGCCAATTAATTTTGACACCTGCTTACCAGATTGATCATTTTTGATGTCTATTAGGTTGCTATCCTTCAGTTTAGTAAAAGAGTTTCAAGGTAATTACCGAAATGAGAAATTTCAAGTTAAAGTCTTTCCCACTGTGTTATATTACTTTAAATGCTGGGTAAAACAAGCTTCCACCCTCAAATAAATCTTTCTTAGCTTAGCATGTACTCCACTAGGAAGAATTCTTCTAAATTGATTCATCCCTTTAACATTAAACACCACGTTTTCTTTACCCCTAAGAGTACACATAACAAGTTGCATACATAACACAGAGTTGTACCAGTTATTTTTACTCTAATTAATAGCTTGTATTCTACAGAGAAATGAAAAAGTACTTACCAATAGAGTACAATGAATCAAAGGAAGTAACAGCTTTCAAGGAAATGAATACTCAATTATTAGTTCAGGGTTTATTGTTATTTAACTATGTCTATATTTTAAAAAGCTACTCTTCCTTTACTCATTATGTTTATGAACACCATCTATGTTATTTAAGTTTGTTTTAACTTGATCCGTGATCTTTCATTAACTGGGACAACATCTTCTAGCGAGGCTACAGCCCGCCCATCTAGCTGATGAACAAGTTCCCCAACTATAAAATGTAGACAGGAACCTCTCAGGAGTACAGGAATCCTTGTCCTCTGCAGACAAATAGAGCACATCTCTGAAGAGGCCACTATCCCTAAATTACATGAATCAGGCAACCTTCCTTTTCATGTGTAAAAGATGTAAAAAATGGATGTGGCTTTTTTCATTTGCTGCCAGTTTATATATTCAAAATTCTTTCTTGATAGGTAAAGAAGTTGGCTGCTATTGTCACAGAAGTTTAAGAAAACTTAAAAAGGCTACTAACAAGCACAGTTCAATAAGTTAGCTTTCCTCATCTGGCAACAGCTTTTATGACTTTTAATTAGCACCTCTCCAAATCTGTAGAGGGTACTTTAAAAAGTACAATACTATGCTAATTTGCGAAAGTATGATGCTAGGAAACATTTCAACCTATTGTTTACAAGTGAATTTCATTAAACTTCCTCCTAAGATTTCACTTCCAAAAGCCTGCCGTAAATTAGTTTTAATAGTAATACCTACCTAAGATTTAAAAGTTCCACTTGAAAACATACACTTTTCCAATCGGTTTTAAGGGACATTGTTTTAACCAGCAGGTTAAAAAAGAAAAAGAAAACTATGCTATGTTCAAAACTACCAGGAATTTTTCCTATGTTAATAAGGTGAACCATATTTCTACCTTTGCTTTAGAGCCCGAGACATTTCAGATTTTTATATCACTCTAACAATAAATACGGTAATCAGGACAGCGTAATTTCAGAACAACAAACCTGCCAGCGGACTTCATATTCAATGTTTAGAAGACTAAGAAGTTGCCTTACTTCATGACAGATATCTGCAAGTTGTCCAATGGCACCCTAACGGTCTTAACTATCTTATTTGCTGCTCCCTCACTTTCACCCATTTCTTGTTATATCAGAAAAGAATGCAATAAACATCAACCAATAGGAGGTAAGAATCTTTACTGTTGTAAAGCCAACTAACTCCTTAGGGCCCTGAGCTTCCGAAAAACGAGAGTGATTCTCCCACACAACAGCTGACAGCAAAATAACCAATTACAAAATCCATTATCTTCACCACATTAAGAAGCCCAGGTATTTCATCCTTTTGTCTAACCCAAAGTCACTCTTGTGTTTTTCGATTAGACTGTCCTAGCAAATTCAACATAGTATTTTAGGTTAAAGTAGATATTCTGTTGTCATGCTAGTTGACTTAGAATCACGACTCTGCCCTTACTACTGTGCAATCTGGGCAAATGACTTACATTAACTACCTCGATTTCTCTCTGGAAATCCAGTACAATTCTAACTCACAAACTTGTGAGAAACAAATGAGATAATCGACGTAAGGCGCTTGCACAGTGTTTGACACATGGTAAACCCATCACTACTAGTACTGAATAAACTAACATGTGAACAAATGTTACCACCTCCCTCAACCCCCACCCTCTCTAGAGATTAGAGAGAGTAGAGCAAGGTACGGCTAGACCACAACTTGTACCCTTTATACTTCGGTATTATTTGAATGTTTCATAATATACTTGCATGAATTTGATTTTAAAAAAATAGTGTTCTAACAAAAACTGTTTATCCTAACAGTTCAAAAACAGTGTCCTAACAAACGTTTTGGCACCGTAACTGAGTGTGGAAATGTGATGAGTAAGGGACCTGAAGTCGCTGCGGACATCTGCACCATCGGGAAAAGCTTCGTGTCCCCGGGGGTCAGTGCTCCGCGCGAGGCCGGGATCCCTGGGCGCCAGGGCTGGAGGCGAACAGCGCGGGCCCCGCTCCGGCCTCCGGTCCCCCGGGACCGCGCGGCGTGGGGGGTGTCGCGACGGGGGCAGGGCAGGGCTGAGGTGCGGGGTCCGGCGAAGACACTTACTTGAACCTGCCCTGGCAGTGCTGGCACTGGTCCCCCACCCAGCCCGGGTCGCAGAGGCAGGTGGCGTTGACACAGCGGCCCGAGAAGCAGGAGCCGGTCCTGTCGCACGGCTTGGACTGGGACACCTGCGCGCAGAGGGCCAGGTAGAGAAAGCCGTAGCACAGCAGCCAGCTGGTCCCGTCCCACAGGCAGGAGGCGCCCCCGCCGCCCGCCGGCCGGGCCCTCCACGGCCCCGGGGCCGCCGGCTGCGGGATACCAGGGCGGGCCGGGCCCCCCGGCCCCATCCTCCACGGCGCCCCTGCCCGGCGGGGCTGCGCTCCGGGGCGCGCACGGAGAGGCCCCCGAGGGCAAGTCCGGTAGGAGGAAACACCGCCGCCGCCGCCGCCGCCGCTGCTCCTCGTCCTTGTCCTCACCGGCGCCTGCCCCAGTCCCACTGCCCGGTCGGGGGGGACAGACCCCCGCCGCGGCCGCCTCCGCTCGGCTCCCTCTGGCCGCACTTGCGCATCGCCTCTCGTCTCCTGACCTTGTCGGCCGCGGCGCCCGGGCCGGGCTGGCGGCGGGGAGCAGGCGGCGCGGGCTGCGCGGGGCGCTCCGGGGGGGACCTGTGGGGAGGGGGAGGGGGCCCGCGCGCGGCTCCGCCTCGCCCGCCGCTCGCGCCAACTGCTGGGCTCCCGGCCCCGCGCGCCGGGGCGGGCGGGGGCCCGAGGAAGCCCCGGGGCGGGCGCGCCCACTGCGGGAGGGGGATCCGGAGAGCGGGGCTCAGCTGCGCCGCGCCCGGCTGGCGGCCTGCGGCTGCCCCGCAGCCATCTTCCCTCCCGAGCCGTCAGCCAGCCCCCGGGGCGGCGGCGGGAACCCCTGCGCGCTGGGCCGCCTCCCCCCGGCCGCGCGTGCCCACGCTCCCCCCCGCGACCTGAGCGCCGTGGTCTCGCCCCGCCTGACAGGGACCGGGGACTCCCCCGCGGACACCCACCCCACCCGGCCCGCGGGCTGCTGGGGGCCGGCCCCCAGGTGTGGCCCGCGAGCCCGCGGTGCCCTTCCCCTCTGCGCGCGGGGGACTCGGCCCCGCTCGCACCACGCGCCGGCCCCGCAAACGGAAGATCGGATCAGGACCGGCTTCGCAGCTTCAGCAGAAAAGAAGCCCTTCCTGTCCGCCGTCCACAGCTGCAAAAGTGCAGGGCTTTTTCCCTAGCGTTTCCCCTTTCTCCGCCCCATCCTCCTGCCTATTTCTTCTTTTTTTCTTAGAAAAACTCCAACAACACACAAAGAGCTGAGCGTGTGCAGCAGGCAAAAGTCTTAAAGGCACCGCAGTCCGACCACGTTGTGGGGTCCGCAAGAACTGGGAGGGGCGGAGGTTCGGGACCATGAGGGTCGCGGAGCCCTTTCCGCCGAGGGACCTCTCCAAGTGGGAGCCATTTCTTCCACTGAAATAAGGATTCCCCCGCCCCTAACAAAGAGCTGCAGGCTGCTGCGCCCCGTGCGCGCCGCCCCTTCCCCACGCTGCCTCGGAACCCCAGGTATCTCCTTTTCTGCTCTTCAGTGTTTCCTCCTCCATCTGGGACAATATTATGCCCTGAAAAATATTGCAACATCGGGGATTTTTCAGAAAAGCAAAAATGAGCCCAGAAAAGAGCCGTTTTTCGTATTTAGCGGCCGTCTTTCCTACTTTAGGTGGCTTTCCAAGATTTGATAGCATATGCTGAAATTTTTGCGTTGCACTTTTGTGCCTTCTCTAAACAAGCTATTTGAACCCTTGAGCAAGGAATCCGAACACGAATAGCAGCCATGTATACTCGAGTTAGAGCGATGTTATTGGACCCCCACCAAAGAAGAGCAGATAGTACAAAAAAGAATTCAAAATCTACCAAAAAATTTCGACATCAAAGGGAGAAAAAGTTTTAGTTGTAATCCCCCAATCATAATATTATTATTAAGAATCAACTCACGTTTATTTTGGGCATAATGGCCGCATGTCATATCTTTTAATCTCTATCATCCCCACTGTGCAGATGAAATCCTCCATTAACCCCATTTTGTGGATGAAGATAGACTCATAAAGAGTGAACGATTTGTCAATAGTAGGTTAGAAGTAAATAATGAGCCAAGCTTTAAACATAAGTCCCCTGACTTCATGCTTTTCCACTATTTACCAGGCTATTTCTATGAGCAGATGCTTTGTTCTACTTTGGTGAATAAAATGTAAGTGTTGGCTTGGTTTGCAAATACCTCAGCAGTGACTCAAGGAGGAAAGCAAAGGTCCAGAAAGAGGTGGCTCCTTCTTAAGTAAAAATTAAAAAAGAAAAAAGGGAAACTATGATTTTCATTTATATAACAACAAATCACAATTCCCATATAATATCAGTACTAGGAATGTCATCCACAAACCTAGAAATTAGGACAGCCCCCTCCTTCCTTTCACATCTTTTCTATATCAGGAGCTCCTCTGAGACTACTTGGGATGAGGGAAGAAGGGGAGGAGAACATTCTGCAAAAAAAAAAGAAAAACAATGAAAAGAAGGATATTGCTCTGGATTACATCTTTGAATTTCCATGACTATAAAATCGAGAAAAACTCTCTCTAGTATTAGCCATACATGAACAATATCTGCGGCCTTTCCAATTCTTTTCATGCCAGCCAAAGTTTAAAGTCAGACACATCTTTCTCACATCTAATGTAGAGTTGCTTTCAGACAAGCTCTTAAAATAGACAGTGAGTGTGAAAGCAATTCAAAAAGTACAATGGAGCCCCTTGAACAAGTAGAGAGAGCACTGTTCAGCCACATACTGACCGTAGCCTACACTGGAGCAAAGGATTTGCCCATTAAAAATACATCTTTTAATCTTATAACCACTATAATCAGCTCAATTACTTCATGTTATACTAAGAACACACAGCCCCACAGGCCTCTCAACATTGCCTTTAGATACAAGCTGAATATATTAAATCTATATAAAATTATTCTCCTAAGGCTCTCACAGGATTTCCACGTGCCCTATGTCCTATTTTTCTTTCAAACTCTTAGTCAACATTTACTGAGTAACTATTATGAATTTAAGCAAGAGAAAACAAAGACAAATAAAACATGATTTCTACCCCTGCATAAGCTTATCTTCTGTTAGGCTCACTAGATAGAGTTTCTTATACAGTTGAGTGTCACATATTTTACAAATATAGACTTAGAAAGTTTAAATGATTTACAATGGTCACACAAAAGTCAGCAGTAAAGCTTGCCTAGAATCTTGACTCATGTTTCAGTATTCTTCTATGATCAAGTAATTTTAAAACTCCAACATGATGTTATCTTTTTTCTGAAGAAGTAAGAGTCAGCATCCTCACAGGGCTATACAACACTACAATAATTCATACTATTGGTAATAGCAGTAATAAATCCCGCAGAAAGGTGAAAATTTACTCTAAAGAGGCAGTGGGTGGGAGAGTCAGTTTTCCCATGGTACGATGAAACTGTGAAGATTGGGATTGTCTATTAAAGTTTCTCCACAAGAGAAGATAAGAAAAGTATATTTGTTTCTTCCACGATTGGCCTTTTATCAGGACCATCAGATATTTGGGGGAGTATGTTTCAGTTCCACTCATACAACTTAGCAATGGTATGATGGGTAAAAAGCTAAGACTTCATATGGTCAAACTGATGGAAATTCAAATGATTTTTTTTTTAAAGAACAAAAGAAATAATAGTTCCACAGATCTTTAGATTGCTACTTAAAAAGTAAAAGATCGTATTTGGACTAATGAACCAAAGCAGCCCCTCCTCAGTTGCTTGACTGAAGAATGATCTCTATTGTTCACGGTTTGGCTCATCTGAGACTTCTGAAAGCAGCCTAGATCATTGGAGCTGCAGATAGCCTGGTCCTAAGAGCCAGAAGTGCATTCATTCAAAAGGACCTGCAGTGCAACTGGGGCAGTATTTTTAAGACACGAAAGAGCATGAGTGATCTGTGACAAAAGACAGTAAAGGAAAGATCAACTTTAGGTGCTCATTAAAAAATTACAGATGGTACTAAAAATGCATATATATGGCTATGATCTGAAACACCACCCTTCCCCCACCAAAATCTAACCCTCTGTTTTCTCTTGGCTGCATTCTTTTTTTCTATTGGTTTCTCTTGCTGTTACACTTGCAGACATACACATACACTCTGATCCTGCCAATTTTTCTACTTAACACATTTCAAACATATTGTTATAAGTAAATCCAAGGAAATAATTCCAAAGATGCTTAATTCACTATGCTGGGCTATTACATTATTTTTAAACTGGGGAATAAAATGAACATCCTTAAACTTTTCATCCTAAATATTCTGACTTTTTACCAAAAAAAAGAGGTGGGCAGAGGGGGCAGTGATTGCTAGTAGTCAACTGCAGAAATTTGTCCTTTGTGAAATTTAATTCAACAAAAATATGCACTAGGACTTCCTATTAAACAGAGCAGACTAAGTATGGCACTTAACCTCTGCTCTGAACTCTCCCAACATAAAAGAATTTTTAAAACATTTTTAAAGGTATAAATTCACAATGACAAAGAAAATGAGTGACGAACGAACTAGTAGATGAGAGGTGTCAATGCATTTGGAAATGTCAATGCACTGGAAGGAGGAAAGGAAATGGAGCAGTGGTAACTAAAAGACACAGGCCTTCAGAGAGAACAAACAGTAAAAAACAGGCCTGCGGAGCCCAGGATTCAGAGGCAACAGGTACCCTGAAGGTAGAGGTGGGACTCTAGGATGAAAGCAAGGATGGTAGTTGAAGGCAAAATAAGGGCCCGTATTCTCCTTCCTCATCCCAAGCAGCTAAAAACTACCCCACACCCAATACTGACAGGAGGTTAAATCCCTTGAGAAATTGAATGGAGAGGCTCTAGACACAGGGCACCAAGTGTCAGAGGAGGGAGTGAGACACGCAGCTGAAAATGGAGAGATGAGGTGAAAATCTATATATCGAATGGTAAAATTTGCCTGCTACCTCGTCCTACCTGTTCCTAGAGCACCTACAGCCAACTGAATAAGCTCCAGGCAGAAAACTGAAGAATACTTACCTGCAGAAATTGAATAATCCAAGAGGAAGGGTACTGTCATTTGGCGTCTCGCAATCAAACAGCAAGCCAAACACTGGATCACCCTTCAGTGAAGACTGCTGGTCAATAAGCTTCACCCAGTCATTTTTCTTTTATGACTCTCTCTTAAATAGAGACAGTAAAGAAATAAAATATAGAAATACTTAGGAATAAAAGTCACCAAAAGAAACAGAAAAGGAATTTAGAGAAAATACTTTGAAGTGATAAGGGAAGATTTTGCAACCTTGAAACAAGAACTGGATATTCTTTAAGAAAAACAAAAGAACACTTAGAAGACAAAAAATAAAAATAGGGTAGACAAAATCTAAATTCAATTAAATAGTTTGGAAAACAAAGTCTAGGAAACCTCCTAAAAATTAAAATAAGAGTTTCTCTTCTTACTGAGGAGGGAAAAACTAAGAAAAAGAATATTCATTAATGATTATGCATAATAGACACTTTTAGATTAAGCATTTATAATACACATGCATTTATTTATGTGATAGTCTATTAATGCACAACTCCTACATAGAAGCAAACAGAATTTGTCTGTATCAGTTTCTTCAACATAGGAAAATTTTCCAGAAGTGAATTGAGCCTTCAGATGAAAGACCCACAAATGTAGAGAAAAAGGTAAATGCAGTGGGATTGGAGGTAATAATAGCACTAACATTCCCAACAGCAAACCTAGATCCTAAAAGTAAGTGAGAATATAAGGGAAATTATTTTCAACCCACAATTCTGTACCCAGCCAAGCTATTGATCAAGAATGAGGATAAAGACATTTTCAAACACATAAACATTGATAAAATTTATCTCCTAGGGCACCATTCTCTTGAAAACTCCTGGAGAATGGAGTAAAGGGAGAAGAGACTGAACACAAGGGAAGTGTGTACAGATACCCCAGGATGACAGACAGCTGTGCCCCAAGCCAGCAGGGCAACCAGCCCAGCCAGGAACAG